TCTCCCAGTTTTGTTCCTAATGAGACTCTAGGAGAGCAATCTCTATAGTTATGCTACTAGCAGATGTTAATTAAACTGGAATGTTAATCAGTTAATAATTCAATATGGAGACCAGTCTCACTGCTGTGGATTAATTCAAATAAAAATTAAATTAACCTTCCTGCATCCATCTGAAAAGATAAACTGGACTTAATTAGATATAAAAGAAAATAATGCAGAGAAATAATGCATAAAATAATGTATTTATTTACCAAAGAACTTGATAAATACAATCAACATCTAAGGGAAGGAAATATAAGCTTTAAAATTGAACCAATCAAAGGTGTAATTAGAAATCTCATGTTTTTTTTTTTGGGTATTTTCACTGTAGAAATTTGTTTAGAAATTTCCATACCAGCCCTCATTATTACGATCTTCATCTGAAGTGTCTATCCTCTGTTTTATGCAAAGCTTATAAAGCTTTAATGACAAAAAATACAGTTCAAAGATATAGCCGCCTGTTATGGTTGTTTAAAACAGCTAACCTATCCAACGTTTAGCCTAGCCTGGTAGCTGAGAGTGAGACAGTGTGAACAATACTGGCCGTAAATGAAACAGTTGTGTTTGTACTATTGATTGCTGTTCGTAGCAACATGAACAAAAGCCCGAGCTTGTTCCATGAAGGATGTTCAAGAGGCCTTTTGCCCTTTCCATGACCCCACAATCGGTTCAAGTTCAGTTCAGGAGTTCACCGCGTGGAGTTCACATGGTCATCACGCCCTTAAAGATGCTGCTGGACTTAAGCTGGGGGGGGGCATCTTATTTAAATAAAATAATTTTTGCTATGTTTGATTTACTAAAGTATTTGTAGGAGGACCGCAGGTTGTTTTCAAAAACAGAAAACACTGGTGCATTTACGTTAAAACTAACTAAAAACCTTTGCATTTTAAAGACGCATTTGATTTTAAAGAATCTATTTCGAATGTGCTTTGCTTTAAACTAAAAAAAAATTAATAAGTGATTAAATATTTAAAATTAAATAAAATATTGTTTTAAAAAAATATTGAAGAAATGAAAGTAATTGCTGTGCCATTAATTCTTATTATTCAAAGTGACACAAATTTTCTCCTAAACTGTTTTTGACTTCAGATCAGATACATGCACTGCAAAAAATCGAAATCTAGATAAGTAATTTTTTCTTAAAATAAGGGCATTTGTTCTTGAATTGAGGTTAGTGAGAAACCCTCCCAATGGAACAAGACAATTTATATGTAAAATAAGAAAATACAATTGTATTGTTGTATTTCAAGTGCATATTATCTAATTATCTTATTTTAAGAGTAAAAATACTCATTCAATTGGCAAACCATCTCATTTACCTCCTCAAATTAAGGGTAAATACACTTAATTTAAGAAATAGTTACTTATTTTTAGATTATTTTTCAAGTGTGTTTGTTTTTATCAGGGAATATTATCAGTTATGTACAAACAGCATTAAAGTGGGATAAAGGGAACCGTTCTATTATTTGTTTTTCATTCTGAGCTACAAACAGCACAATTTGTACAAAAGTAGAATTTTCTGAAAACAGAAATTTATTTTAAACAGATTTTTCATAAGCTTCATTTTAGAGGCAAATATAATTTTTCTCTATTATTTGTGTTTTTGTTCTTGGATCTTGATAGAAGCTTATTGTGAAAAACAATTTGACTTTAAACATTGACTTTCAAAGAGTGAAAAGGCCGTAAATGAAACACAACTGCTTCATTTACGGCCAGTATTGTTCACACTGTCTCACTCTCAGCTACCAGGCTAGGCTAAAAGCTGGATAGGTTAGCTGTTCTGCTTGTTTTAAATAACCATAACAGATGTTGATTGTATTTATCAAGTTCTTTGGTAAATAAATACATAATTTTATGCATTATTTCCCTGCATTATTTTCTTTTATATCTAATTAAGTCCAGTTTATCATTTCAGATGGATGCAGGAAGGTTAATTTAATTTTTATTTGAATTAATCCACAGCAGTGAGACTGGTTTCCATATTGTATTATTAACTGGTTAACATTCCAGTTTAATTAACATCTGCTTTAATAAACATTGACTTTCAAATTGACTTTAGAGCTGAATATAGAGAAGTTTAATATTTGATCAGATGCTTATTTACAAACTACTGAAACATTTCCAAAGTTTTAATCTTTATTTCATATCTAAACCTTAACATTGAGCACAAAGAGCAGCAAAATGAGCCCAGTTCATTTTATTTTCTGAAATAATTTTTTTTTAACACAATCATTTGTTCCATAAGCAGAAAGAAATTCCTTCAAAGCTTTATTTCTGAACTTTGGTTTAACAGATATCTCAGATTCCTGTTAATTATAATTATTTTGCTTTTATTAAATATATGGCGGATATGTCCTTGGAAATTAGTTATATGAGGTTTCTGCATCTATTTTAAAACTCTGTAATTTTCCAAATCACAAAGATTTTAATAACTCTATGAAAATATCTATGTCTAGTTCTATGAATTTCTATTTCTCATTTCTACTGCTCTGTTTTGTAAAATCTTTATTTTATTTTAAATTGTGCTGGAAATACAGCATTATGTAATAAAAGTGTTATTTAAAGCAGTATTTATGTGATAATATAAAGCAGTGTGTTTGTAAGGGAGGCATTTATTATTTTGTTTTTCATTATTGTGATAAAAGAAATTTGATAATAAATTATAAATTAGAATATTAGTTTAACCCCCCAAAAATTGGTGAACTTTGTAAATTTTTAGGTTTACTTTATTTCTTGGTTTTCTTTTTTTTAACAGAAAAATGGATAAATTCAAAGAATATGATTATATGTATTAATTTTGAGCTGCTTCATGGTAAAAAAAACACTTTTTTAATACTGCTGTGCTGAATTTTAAATAGGTTTATATATTTCAACAGCAGTTTTTATTATAACAGGCTCTTATTGCTGCGGCAAGTATACAAAATACTTCACAAACAATAATAGTGATTTTTTTCATCTGGATTTTATATTTCTTACCACAGTAACACAAAATACAAAAGAGTTTGAGTCCATGCTTTCCAACATTGTGTGCTGCTTTCCATAACTGCTGCAGCAGACGTCTGCTTTTTGTTGCAGTGGGGGGAAAAGCAGAGCTGCTGATAGAGGCGTGCATCGCCGCAGGAGATGTGATGAAGGCGAATGTTTATGATGCGTCGTACACGACGCCTGAGATCAGTTAGAAGATGCAGAAATCCACGAGGAAAAGCATCTTAAATTCAACGAGAGCCTTTCTGAACTGGAAGGATAGACATTATTTTACACTCGCTGAAGTCAAAGACAAAACATGTGTGTGATTTTAACTTTTCAAGTTTAACCTTAATTGATTAGTTTGAAATGATTATTCTTTTTGTTTATTTAAATTATGGTTAATTTAACCTGATTGAAATGTTTAAATATTAGATATTTGATAGTTGTATTGACTTTATTTGTTGCATTTGTGTTGTTTGTTAAAACACTTAATGGGTTTTCTGGCCTTTTAGGTCGGGTTTTTATATATATGATGGATCAGATCCTCAGATCCTGAACAACTGATGGCGAGCTAAAAAAGGACAAGACCCGTAGGACTCTTGAATTGGTTTATTTGTGTACAGTATTTGTAATTGTTTTGTTTGTTTGTTGTTGTTTTTTTTTCCTGCCCCTTATTTTTTCCCTGTTTCCAAGGAAAACCAATAATAAACTTGCACGAAACACCAACTAAAACAGTTTCCTTGTGTTTTCATTCACAACTGTTTTCTGATATCGCAGTTAGCTGCCTAGCCCATAACTGTTACAAGTATTTTCTAAAAACCCTTCAACAATACTGACCTCCAACTACTGTAGATGTATTAGTTTTTCCAAACCATGCATTTTACTTTTTAATGTTATACTGAAACCTCTCACATCCTTTTTAAAAACATGAATATACTAGAGATATAGCACACCTTACTGTTGTCAGTTTCATTGTGCAGCAAATTGTACTTTTTGTTATGCTGCTTAAGAAATCAAATCAAATCAAATCAAATCAAAAGATTTTATGGTCATATGCTCAATAAAGAGACACGTTTCCCTGTGCAATCAAATTCTTTCTTTGCTGTCCACACTGGATGCTAAGTTATTACCAAAAAAATAGAATTAAAAACAGCATGCAAGAAAAAAACAATATAAATATAATAACACAATACAATAAATAAAATGTAAGCATTATTTATTAGGGTTAAAAGTCTTTTAAATTCATAGTAATTTTAGTAGAAAAAATGACTATGATGATAATCATGTCTACATCGATATATTATAATTAATGTCTTTTTTGCACGCCATGTATCACTTTACTTGGATATGCATAGATATACGTACATATATATATATATACAGAAGAGCTATATGTGTATATATTTTATCTCTTTTATTCTTATTTTTTTATCTTTATTATATTGTGTGTGTATATATTATATAAAACTGTAACTGGAGCGTGTAACTAAAGTAATCTCCCTCTGGGATTATTTAAGTATTTTTGATTCTGATTCTGATTCGCTCCATCCCACCACCAAAAAAACACAATAGGATTGTGTATAATTAATTTTTATTAATCATTCTATAATTTATATAAGACATTTACTAACTGATAATTAAAATCAAAGCTGGATTAAAAGCTACCATAAGAGGAAAGGCAACCAAAGTTATTGACTTTTTGGGTTGTAAAAAGTAAAGCATCGTTACTTTGCTTGATAAATACTAACGTTATTAGTTCAATAGTTTCTAACTCAGTTACCTTTTGTGTGAAGTAGCTTGTTAGTATAATTAGTGAATCTTCTTAAAGGAATATTCCAATCACAGTTTTTTTTTTTTATATCTTCAAAAGTTCTGTTTGTTTAATTTTGTTTCCTCCTTTTGCTGATTCAAAGGCTTTAAATGTGAAGTGAAGTGGGATTTCCCTCTGTGCACAAATGAGGCGTTAAAGATGCAATAACATCTATTTGTTGGTTCTTCTCCTGACCGAATGTAGCCGATATCGATAAACATGATTTTAATTGAAACATCCTTCATAATCGACGCGCTTTAACAGTTAACATCATTTTTAAAGGCCCAAATACCAGATAAATGATCAATAATGAAAACTAATTTCACTTTGTCGCCATAATGCTTTTCATAAAGAGGCCAATTTAACATCTAGTTAATATTCGGTGTTTACCCAGATGTCTTGTAAATGATCATTGATTTATTTCTGTCTTATAATGTGTGTTACGTGTTTGTTTTTGTCCATTTAGACTCTGAAAGCAGCTCAGAGTGATTGTAGCCCTGAGCTCAAAGCACCTGAATCTAATGTGCTGCTGACTTCAAGAGAAAGAGTGAAAGACTTGGATGGAAACAAATGAAGGTGTCAAAAACAGGAAGAGAAAGAGGAAGGAGAAAAGCAACAATAAAAGAGCAGATGAAGGATGTACAGGACAACGGGTGGGGGTGGGGTTATGGGGGGTTAAACACAGTTCAAGGGTTCAGTTTCTGCACAAACACGTACATGTTGTCTGGATTATCAGGTAACCGATGCAAACCAATCTGTGACTCTCTTTAACCCAGAAGTCTGCCGTTTCTGTGAACTTTATTCTCATTAGGAGATGAGTGTGCAGTTGTGTCTCGATGTGCCAGTGTGCACGTGTGTCTGTGCACGTGTGTCTGTGCACGTGCGTGTGCACCTGTGTGTGTTAGTGGGTGGGTGTGAATGTATACACAACCTCACAATAGAAGCTCTATCTATCGGCGTCATTTGGTTACAAATTCTGTCTCACACAGTTCAATGGAGACCAGACACACAGTCAGGACCCCCCCACACACACACACACACACACATACTCCCCCCGCCACCCAACACACACACACAATGAAGGGTATGGTAATGTGAACTTTGTTTCACCCAAAAATGAAGCATTTGACCTGACCGTGTACTCTGCAGCACTTCTCCTTCCCCTCTCCTTCATCTTCATCACCTCCTCTCCTCGTTCAGCTCAGCTCTTCCTCATTCGGTGTCCTTCGTTTCATGATGATACTGTTTGGAAAGAAAGAAAATCTGTCTCCTCCCACTGGATCCGTTTCTCTATCAAAGCAAAATGTTTGATCTTTAAACCGTAGCAGAATATCTCTCAGAGGTGAAATTTAGCTTCTCTTTACATGATCCAGTCAACAGATTCAACTTCTTTTGAAGGCGTTCTTTAAGATTCAAGATTAACCAAAGTGTATCTGAAATATAGCTCTGGTCTGGTAGGGGGTGCACTGTAAAACGCATTATGTTGACTTTATTAAAAAAATCCAGAATAATGAAAAATTGGAGGAACCTTTAAAAAATGTTGGTATGCATAAGTTGTAAACATGCATAGTCAGGTTATATGCCTATAGAAATAATTAAAAAAAAGGATTTGATCATGATAAATAACATAATAAAACAAAGCACATAGAGTTGAGTAGAGAAACGGGACGAAGCACTGAAAAACAGGACCAACTGTCTCATCTATAATCAAAGTTTGTGATGGCAGCAGGCCGGCTGATATTTCCCTCCAGGATGTTTTCACAGCTAAGAAGGACCAGAGACCAAATTAAGCTACTATCACAAGAAAAAGAAGAGAGAACATACAGTTAGGGATTGAACTACCAAACACTGCAGAGTGGGAGAATATATATATAGAGTGAAGCAGAATAATGAAAAGTGAACCATATGTCCTCCAGAAGCCTAACCCTATAGTAGCATAACTATAGAGATAGCTCTGGATAACCTGAGTGAAACTTTTCAGCAATCCCTCACACCGAAAATACGTGTACTGACAGTGGAATTCCCCTTTAGTTGGAAGAAACATCCAGCAGAACCTGGCTCATTGAATGGCCTTCTGTCACAACCAAACTGGGTTCCATCTGTTTTTATTAAATTGGTAAGGCCAGCAGAAGTGTGTCAGAGGTCGCCATGATACATGCAGGCCGAATAGTGCTGGCAGTAAGGAAGGAGATAAGAAGAGGAAGCTGGATTCCTATCTATAATTCATTTAGCGTCCTACCTGGTGCTTAGGAGCTGTACAATTTCCCACAATCCTTTACATATACTCTTTATTTACATGTGCTCTGTCTGACACAAGCTAACGTAAAGACATTTATGTTTTTTCAAATGAAAAAATGAAATTAACTCTCTGCATTTAACTCATCCCCTTGGGGAGCAGTGGGCTGTCATTGTCCGGCGCCTGGGGAGCAGTGAGGGGTTAAGGGTCTTACTTAGAGACCCAGAGTGTCAGTCTGTGGGAGTGGGGCTTGAAATCAGAACCTCCGGATCAAAGCTGTGTGCCCTAACCCAGGGGTGGGCAACCCCAACTGATCAAAGAGCAATATCGGACCAAAAACACAAAAAAACAAATCTATCTGCAGCCGCAAAAATGTAAAAGTCTTCTGTCAGCCTTTTATGGCAAAACAGGCTCAAAGTGTATTATCTCACTATAGAAAAGTAGCCTGGGTGCCATTCCAAACTTAGTCCCGCCCACAGCGTTTGAGGTTGGGAAGTTCGGTCTGGCATTGCTCAATAGTAGCGCGAGTATGCTCGCACAATATATGGCGGGCCAATCAAAT